AAAGCCTGTGGCGCTGCTGGGGGTTGTTGTGGCCGAAGGGCAGGACCCAGCATTTGGCCTTACTGAATTTCATTGAGTTGGCCTTGCCTCAGTGATCCAGCCTATTCAGATCCCTCTGTAGAGCCTCCCTACCTTCAAGCAGATCGATGCTTCCACCGAGCTTGGTATCATCTGCAAACTTATTGAGGGTAGAAAAAGCTGATGTGACTAAGCTTTACAACGTGCTCAACAATTGCCTTCGCTGCAATTCATGGAGCTCAGGCAAAAAAAAGCCGTGCAGGTCGCTGGAGAGGAAGATGGGCGTATTCAGGCACCGGGATAGGTGGCTTTAACTCTCTCCCAGTTTATAATCTCTGTTATCCTCCTCCTGTATGCTTCTGACCTGCATACGGTCCTGTCCTTTACAGCTCTGCCACCATTTGCTCTTCTAAACCACTGGCTCTGAGCAGAGTCTGCTCTAGCGGGCATCTTTCCTGACATGATATGAAAGAGGCAATTACATCTCTTACTTCCATTACTGGGCCTGCCCAGGTGAGTGAGTGAGTGCTGCAGGCAGTGGCAGCGCTGGCAAGCTGCCACGTAACAGCACGCCTGTCGTGATCTCTGCTTGGGGTGCAGATGGGAAAAGACAGAGGAGACGGTAGTTCTGGTTCTGGCCACATGCAAGCAGCTCGCCTTACTGCAGAGGCAGGATCCAAGGTAGGGAGCCCAGCATATGAGCAAACCCATTATTTTGCTATTAGTGAAGCCTGCATGGATTGCTGAGGTGCAAGGGAGTGGAAATCGTCACTTGTCAGGCTCCCCCAGTGCTTGTCTCATTACCCCGGTGGCCAAATCCCTCTGCTCCTGCACAGAACTGAGCAGTGCTGCCCTGGAGCAGCATTACCTAGACAGGATTTGTGCCAGCCGTTTAAAAGATCAGTCTTTCAAATGCCGATTGCCAGGAAACAATTATTCCTGTGGGGGAATTTTCTGCACTTGAAGTCGGCTATATTTCATGGCTCTGATGTCATGGGAAGAGGTTTTATAGTGGCTCATGCTGAAATACAGCTCACAAGAATGATATCATAGCTGTGAAATACAGCTTTTTACTCTTCTCTGCAGAAATGAATCCAAAATGCTCAAATTAGGGCACGATCCCATAATGACCTTCTTAACTGGATAGTCTTCATGAAGCAGCAGAGTATCTAAGCCCTGGCAGCTTCCCTTGAGTAGCAAGAGAGCAGATAGATCTCGGCTTAAGCATGCAGCCAGGGTAAGTACCAACTGATGTCCAGGAGGTCTTTGCTCCA